ATGTCCGTTTATTTACATTAAATAAATGAATAAGTAAACTGATATACTTCTGTACCCTTGTACAACGGTGCCTGGATCCATATGGACCCAAGTTTCTAAAAGTTCTTCTAACACATCAACCTGTGAATTATATTTACGCTAGGAGTTGTTTATGATTGCGTTCGAAAATAAAGTCTAAAATGTTGGAACTATTCCGGGAGGGAATTATGATACAAAAACGTCCGCCTTCCAAGGATTAATAAAAGACCCATCCACGGATTGCGTTTCTCCAACAACCTTCTTCTTTCCATTACTAATTGCAGTCAAAGTGATGAATGAAAATGGGACAAAGAACATGAAATATGTTTCGCAAGATTGAAAGTGAAGCTTTTTCTATCTGTTTCATAGAGAATCTTTTTCTTCCTGAGCGAAGGGAATGCGTGGAAAAAAGGAAAGTACCGAAGGGCGACCGGAATGCCGGCGTAAATGGAACCCGGTGGCGCTTTATTATACAAAGCCGCCAACTGACGGTATTAGCCACTCTCGCGGAAAAGTATTCGACATTACTGGGGGTATCGTATAACTGGGACCAGAGGAACTAGTTTGTTACGGTAAAAGATTCTTGGCAGCTCATTGCACGCGATAGTGGGACCCCGCCGCGGATCTCTCCTACGGCCGTCGCGGCCGGTGGATCTCGATACGGGAAATAAGTAAAATCGGAATACGACGATCTCGTGATTTCACTTAATACGAAGTATTAGCCGAGGCGATAACGTCAATCCAGTCGGCGGTTTCCACAAGTACGCGGAGGTTGTTGGCATTTAAGGGAACAAATACAATTGGTCCTATCGCTCGTTCAAATTTCCCGCTGATTTTAGCAACGAATTCTCCAATGTTTCTATAGCCCTTGTAATTTCGATGTAATCGATTAGGAGAGATATAGAGGATTTTCTAAATAATTTAGACTCCTTGATGGTAGTATTAGAAAAAGTGGTTCGTTTTTATTTTAACCACAATAGATAAAGATGGATACACACGGTCTACTCTTTGGCCCACTCACCAGAGATATATTATAAATTGTAATACATAAGGGTAAGACGATATTATTACACACATGGTTATCTAAACTTAAAGTTGAAGATGGCAAATGCAAAGGTTTTCAGCCTCCCATAAATTTGGATTTTTCCCGAAGCCAATCCTCTACTTAGCTTCTGTCTAATCTGTTTTAATAGGTTCCAAAGGGGAATCCTCCAGTGGTGTGAATAACGCAGTAGCTCGTGTCGCATTCATCGAGGAATGACTGTATTATTTATAATGCTTCACGATTTTTAAATTGCTTCCTTTAAACTTCTCACTTTACAAGTTAAGTTATATTTTAATTATATATGACTTTTGCACTTTTGTTAACAGTAAATTAAAGATAAAACATAAATGTACTCGAGTAACAACAAATCTTTTGTATTTGGTTAATTTTTCTACTTGTACCTTAAAAAAACGAATGCAGTTATTCTTAAGTGATTAGAAACTGAGCCCGTAACGTTAATAAAAACACATATTACAAATTCAAACAGTGCAATCGTTTAACTTGAAAACATTCTTCCACCGTACAGACTTTCAACAAGATCGTCTCGAAGTTCACCGAGAAGAAATTTTGCGAAATCGCGATTCGTGGCGGGAGCCACGTATAATTTGAGGATCGTCGTCTCGCCGCGCGTCGAAATGTCGCGATAACACTCAATTGGGTTATCTCGCGTGTTACGTTAGACTCTCGCGTTTCAATTCCCCTTCCATTATTCATTTTTCTTTTTTCGCCGTCCTCTCTTTCGCGTGACGGAGGCGCGAGATTCCGTGCGTACGCGGCGTTTCCCGCGGAATTAGAAACAATTTTACCAGCCGAGCGGCCGGTAGCGCGAATCCAAATGGATGATGAACTATTATTATCCGTTCATTCGGACCAATTGACCGTGGCGGGCGTTTCATTGGGGCGGAAACGGTGGTTTTTTTCTCCGTGTTCGGCTGGGAACGCCAGAAGCCTGTTTCGTCACCGCGATTTAGCCACTTCTCGCGTGACCTTCGAGACCCCACGGAGGGGAGGCTGAGAATCCGCGCACGCATTCCGCCGGCGTGTAATTAGCAGCGATCCGACGGGGATAATCCGGAAGAAAAGCCGCTCCTCGAATCGGCGCCATCAACGATCGTTGTCGGTCTTTCGATGGCGAACCGGGAGCTTCGAATTAATCCCAGAACAGCGCGTGACCGATCCATAAATTACACGCTGGAGTAAATTATAGACCGAACTATGAACTAATAATCCGTCTTAGCTTGGGAGTTGCTTAGTATAGGAACTCGAAGATTAAGGTAAGCTTCGATAAGATCTTGAAGACAGAAATTAAACGTGAGATTGAAGGAATCTTGTCTTTAAACCTTGGAGTACGGTGCCAGGGTCATTTGTATCTGAGTGTTTAAAAGCCGTATCTAACTCATCGATTTGTATATATAACTTAAGCTAGAAGTTGTTTATATTTAGTTATACGAGAAAGGCAGGTGGTTTTTAATGATCGCGTTCGAAAGTATGTTTAAAAAGAAGGAAGCATAGTGGTCAAACGGACCCAGACAGTAACGTAATAGAAGTGTAATAGACAATTTCAACATATATAAAAGATACTAGAAAAATTTATCAATAATAATTACAGAATTGGCTTCCTTTACTATTCTGAGACATGAAGAGCAGCTACCAAAAATGAATTATCTAAGGGATGAAGTTAACAGAATGTTACGTACGGTTATTATACTCATACATTCTTTAACACCTAGTGTTCGCTGATAGTGAAGTAACACCACGATGATCTCTTTACCGAAGATCAAAGTATTTGAGCAGAGGAATCGATCGTGCAGATTGGTGATCGAATTCCCGCGCGGCAAGTGGTAACCGTTTGACAATTCCCCAACTTCCAAACGTGGGAATACTGGTGATAAAGCTGTTTTCAGCTCGTTTCTATTTTTACTTGTCAGGGGGAGGAGAGAGGGAGTGTAGTGAAATCGCTCGAACAAGGAACTTTCTGCTCTAGTTTCTTTTTTCATTCGAATGACGTAATGTCGTGCGTCTTGGGCCGACGTAATGTTTATCACGTGTCCAGCGTTTCGCTCTATTCGTTCCGGTGTACGCACCATGGAGCTGCTCCATGGGCACCAATCATTGAGTATATGTGTTCCATATGTTACGCGATCGCTTCGAACTTGAAAAAATCAAAGAAGACTGTGTATTTATGTCTACAGATTATATACACCGTTTCTAATCTGAGTCAAGTGACGTAGGTGACCGAAGAATGATAGGAATAAGATTGATAAAAATAAAAAACTGCAAGTAATGTAACAATTAACGCAATTAGATGTTATAGTCTCTGGGACAGTGTATGTGGATACAAGACTTGAAAAGAAGTTATATTTTGGCTTCTATTGTTGGGAAACAATTTAATAAATTGTGTTGATATTATAGGAAGAAAGTGGTGAAAAATATGTAATAAATTTAATATGTAATATTTTGAAATTTCTGCAATTTTAACGTACAAATGTATCGAATGGAGAAAGATTCAAATTATACACTAAATATTAAGTATTAATTTGTCTAAATATTATATCGATGTATACCAAAATTGTATGTAGGAAAACTCGAAAACGTAATGTTCTAAATTTAACATCCCTGGAGATTTCAATGCGACTCTAACACGAATACTCAACCTGCTATATATAGTATCGCTCGCACGCGACAAACCCCTCGGAACACATCATGAAAATGATCTCTACGAATTTTTAGATCCGACTGGATCGAAACTTCACCTCGAGATCAAGGAAAGTACAAAGATCACAGTCTCCTATATGAAACGGAAGAAACCTAGCAAAATACACGCGACGATAATGACGACTACAACACGACAGAACTATTATGCAGGGTTATCGATCACGTGTGATCTTGATCATTCAGTTTTGCAGTCGTGAAATAGATGAAATGACGCGGATATAAATGGAGGAAGAGTTTCCCGTAAAACTGAAACGACACGACTAAATTATTCAGTCATTTTTAAATAGGCCTCCGAATTTTAAGCTTTGAAATGTTTATGAGTAGGTACTTCAGTCACTTGTAAATAATTGCAAATTGAAGAGTCAGACACCCTCTAGATACATGCGAGTGCTTCGGTATATTCGAATGATTGGAAACCGATTAATCCCCTCCAATTCTATTGGTCATTTGTTAAGAATATATTAGCTTTCAGTGATCACATGTAACTCACGTGTGATAAGAAAATATACAATAGTAAAACACGAATGCTCCAAAAATTTGGGCCAATTCATTTTCATATAATTTATTATATCCAGTGTAACCAAATTTTTGAAATTTCATGCTCGTAAATGAATCTCTGAAAGTATGAGTTTGCGCAAACATCTTACGTTGTATTAACCCTAGAAGACATATAGGGGTAATTGTATACCCCACTGAATTAAAAGTTGCAACTATTCTGACGTTCTTAGGTTGGTAGATATGCGCGTTTTAATAACAAAAAAAACAAATAATATTATAATATATAGAATATTAAATAATATTATAATGCAACTATTACAGCCAGCGGATTTTATGCATTTGTATTTGATTTTGTACGCAACTAGTCTTCTATTTTATTCTGAACCCATTAAGATTCTTAACGGAAGGAAGGAACTCCTACTTTAGTTCTTGTCTTCATGAATTACCTTATAAAATAATATATTGCATATAAATCCACAGACCAATTATAATAAAGCAGTCTTTTCAAAAATAAATCTACAAAAGTTTACCAATTATTATATTCACTTATTGGGGTAACTACCTCATAAACACCAAGGATCCAAGACCACGGCTGTCGGTGCGACCTTAGTGATCACGGATCGAAAATTATTGTCCCGTTCCACGGATTATCTCGATCCAAGATCATCGAATAGCCCGCTAGCGGTTCGCTGCTCGGGAACAACCGATAACTCGATATACTCACCCGAGAGGTGGTGCCGATTGCAGCGTGTTATCCAGATCCTGCGCGGGCCCGGTGGTGTATCGTTGTCCCGTGGTCGATGCACCGTCCAGGACGATCAACAGCAGCCACGTACCGTACAACAGACCGCCGCCGTTCCGCATTTTGCAGCGATCACGATCGCTTTACCGTTTGATCGTACGACAAAACTGTTCCACGTGGGTGGTATACACGACACGGATTACTCGTTGTTAGCTTGTCGCGCGATCGTTCACGGCTCGTCTCACGCGCATGATCTCCTCGATCGATCGTCGATACGCGAACACTTGCCGAGAGCTCGTAACGATTTTCAACGCTGCTTCGCGATCGCCGCCGCGATCGGATTCTCGATCATGGTTCTCGATCGGCTGGGCGTTTGGTGGTTGGACACTCACGTGATTCTGTAACGATTGCACCCGTTTTTTAAGAGGGAATCTTTGATAAGATTTTGTAAGTTTTGACAACTTTTAAGGTGGTTTGTAGAGGATGAAGATTGTTCATGAAGGTCTTATCAGAAATAGCTTCTTCATACATTTATAGGGAAGATAGTAGTTTGAGATGTGATATAGATTTATGCGGAGGAACGATAGAAATTGTATCGTTTCGGTAAAAAAGGTGTACGTGAAGTTAATAAATTATAATTACGGGTCTTGACACATCAATAATGTATGGAATCAATAATCTAATCGAAGTTAAATGCAATTCTCTTCAGAAATAATACAAGCGGAATTATCTTTGTGCATGAACACACAGTATTAAAACAAGGAAAATTACTATGGATTACGTCAGTACTGTTATCTATCGTAGTGGCCACAGAATTTTGTTTTATTATCGCATGATTACTCATAGATATGTTATAAATAAATATTCATCGATGACCTTTAGTACTGAATTATATTTGACAAGTAGCAACAACTGACAAAGTTAACTAAACTGATAACGTTGTTGCTCCGACTACAAAGAGCAACTAGTGTAGGCAACGTATCACTAAGTGTTCTATCAATTAATTTCGTAATAGGTTATAGTGGAAATTATGAAATTGCTGTTGAAGATTTTGTAAGGATTTTTATTAATGTAAATTTTAAGGTTTCAGATAGAAAATTAATACGAGATTCAAGGTTTCGTTACATAGAAACTTGAATACCTAGTTTTTTGATTCTAAAAGAATTCTTATAATTTCTGGATTTCATTGAAATAATAGGAAATTTCTATTTTCATCTTGGTTCGAAGCATTTTGTGACTAATTTTCGAATATAACGTTTCATCTTTGATCAGTAATATTCGCAAGAGAACCGAGAATTTCGCCACGTAAACCGAGTCCGACAGACAACAGGCGATAATTGTCGCGATTCCGCGCTGACTATGACGCCTTTCCGGAAACACCAAATTAGTACGATGAGATAGATGGAACTATCTTCTGATATAAATATCCACAATAGCTGTTCCTGTGCCACGAGCACCGAGGAATTGCGAGGAAGTCAGCCTTCCAATTCGATTGAAATTTCAGAGACGAACACTGTTCACTTTCGACAAAAGAAACTGTATTCATACATGAAGACAATAAATAATTTCTCGAAATTTGACTTTAACAACATCGACTGTTATTGCACCGAGAAGTACAATTATTTTTTAGCTTTCTTTAAATCAAATCAATAATTCCTAGCATTTTCCATGTCCAGATAAAACAAAAAATCTTTCGAATTCTCAAGTGTGAAAAATACAAATAAATAACATTACGATAATTTCAAAGACAATTCCGTTAATAAAATAATTTTATTCTTTAGCAATATTAAATTCTTTGAAAATCCCAAGTGATGTTAGCTATCTAACAAAGTAGTACATATACACTATAATTACAAAAACATCGCACGGAAGAAAACTTATTTTCAGTCCCAAATACAAGTTCGACCGTCACCGACCAATAAGTTCTCGTCTCTCGTCTCTAATCACGAAAATGACGGGGGATACACAGGAAAATACGTGAGGGACGATTTTAATCGACACGTTCCTCGGAAATTCGCGGTGCCGAGATAGGCTGCCACGCCGCTTTCACTCGTTATCATAACGTAAAAGCGGACCGAGGCAGAGGCTATCATTAAAGTTCCATAAAGCCTGGTATGCTCGTGCAAAACTCGTGCAAAAAGTGATCGGTCTGGTTCGCACGTTCTATTACAAGCGGAGCGGATTGAACCGCGTGTCGGCGACGGGGAATATCGCCGCGACAAACGTTTCTTACTCACGACGGCAAATCGACGCGTTTCGCGCGAGGAAACCTATCATCCGACACCGTCACTTCGATTTTTCGAGACAATTGCCTAGGAGCTTCAGATTGGCTCGAATTCGATTCTACAATAAGAGGCATGAAATGTAAAATTTTGTCGAATCGTGGAATTAGTATATTCTATTTTCTCAATTGGACGAACAAAGCAAGTCTTTAATATGCCACTTCTTGCACTCTTGTGACGAGTACTATACCTGTCACCTTTGACGTTAAAAAATATTTTTCCCGCGTATTTTATAAATAATATAATAAATTCACCCCTTTAAAAGAAACTAACCCCATAATTTCTCACTGGCGACTATGCATTTAGTAAAAAATTTCGTTAACACATAAATTGATGATACTTAACATATGCAATAAAACGCTGTATTTTTTTACTGCCCGATCTCTATACATATACGAATCCTTTAAGGCGTTTGCCTTTTAACTAGTGTAGATAAATCCACGATTCTCTTAAATATATTTGTTAGAATTCTGATGACTATTAAAAACTGGTTTAGACTGCCTTTCTTTCAAAAAGAACGATCTAATCTTCATCAGGTTCAAATCAAAATGTCAATCTTAACTATAGTTGTTTTTAATAGTCACAATTTCGTATTATTAAATCCTCCAAGTTCCCCAACAGCAGTATCAAAATCCTCCTCCAACAATCCACTCAACACCTCCATCGCAACACCCCCTTTACCCGATATCATACCTGTCAACGAAACCATCAACATAACTCCAACGACAAGCTCCACCAAATACTCCACAGTATCACCAGGTGCACTCAGCTCAATCTAAATCCTCACCCACGTGTACCGCTCCACGAGCCTTCGATCATCAATGTCGTCACCGATACCACCAATTTCCACCCTCCCCCTAAAAAAACAGGGTTCTATTCACCCAAGTCACCCCACCCAACTCACCCCACCCAACTGTCCAAACTAAAATCTTCCAATGAAACAAACTGAACTTCAATAGAAAAACGGATAATCACGACTGGCTCTAGGTGATTTACGGGTAAAGAACCGATATCGTGGGGACACCTGATCGCGATCCTTAAACACGACACACGTTTCGCACGATGATAAGTGGGAGAAGCGACGAGGGAACAAGCCCCGAAAAGATGCGCCGTCGGGACTCGCCGCAAGACTGGAGCGGCAGATTGTGGACGAGCGGTGTGTGCCGAGAGAGGGCTCATCTGGAGAGAAGAGGCTCTCTTCCCTCGTCTTCGCGTCTTCTCCTTCCCTCCACTCGCGCCCTTTCCCTCCTTTCTCGGCTCGTTTTCTCGCGGCCGCAGCCGCAACGTCCAGCCGGTGGACCCCGAGAACACGAAGAGCAGCATGGGATTCTCGTCCCAACCCTTCCTTTTTTTTTTCTTTTTTTTTCGGTACGCTGTCAACACACTGTGCGCGTAGGAACGAGCGTTAGAGGCACGCGTGATGAAGAGAACGGGATGGGCATAAATGGACGACGTTTCCTCTCGATGGAGAAGAAACCTGAAGTTGTTGATTGCGACGAATAATTCGAGGATGAATCGAATGATTTGGTAAGATTGTAGTTTCTGATGAACCATTGGATACTTGACACTGGAACTACCAAACACCTCAAAATGATGAACTGCAGATTTCTTATTTTATAATTACATATGTATACTGAAATTGTAATAGAGATTTTAGTGGAATTGATGTTGGCTTTTAATTCGCTATATATATTGTGTGTATTAGGATGTTTTACAATTTAATTTATTATACATTTAATGCTGATACTTTTAACGTTAAGACGCTGTGATACATTGCGTGAGTTTTGTGTTAAAGGCTTAAAATTTTTTATTATGGTTAAAATGGTAGGTTCAAGATTTTGTACGTGTTTATGTTGGTGTGTGTGCATGCATTTTGCAATCTGCAGACTGTAAAAAAAGGATGAGACTATCGATGCAAAAAGAGGAATATACAACTGAAAGAATTTACATTCGATAAATTTATTAATTAGATTATTTTACGTTAAGATCCCATACAAAGGAAATAAACTGTGGGAAGTTTCCTTTTTCACTTCATTCTATGTAGATTTCATTCAGCATCTTCTTGTTGGTGCGAATAATAGCGGCGGTACTCTGAAGCACCGATCGAGCTGCATGCTGCATCGGAAGTGTTTGAATGAAGGAAACTTTCGCAATGAGGCGCAGCCAAGCTTTATCAAACGAGGCTGAAACTTCGATTGGGAAACACGAACGGCATTGGCCTCTGTGTTCTGGACCAATAAGCGTGTTAAGAAGCCATCACATCCGCTCGGTTCTATTAAAAACATCTATTGTCAACCGACGACTGCGATGGAACACTGTGAGATATCGATCACGTGACGCTCTGAAGGAGAAAAATATCATTTAAATTGTGAGTACCCAAGGATGCAGCATTTTGTTGCAGAATAAATAAAAGAAATCGTTGTATCTCTTCAGAGTAGAGTGGCAAATTAAAGAGCAAGGGAGGCAGTAAATGTAACATTTATGCAATACATACTACGATGAATTTAAAGTGTAACGAAAATTCCTTTATTCTATTATATTCATATAGCAAGTGGAAATATATTCAACCTCCAAAATCTAGAGTCATGAAGTCATATAAAAGTATTTTCATCACTTGAATGTAGTCCTCGACGAATCCTCAAACTTTCTCACCCTTTTCACCATCATTACGTAATTCCTGTCGTATTGAATGATCTTCAACGAATCTCCCTGTTACTAGTCTTCCGAGTCGCATGCGGGTGGTGAAGATCACAATCGGATACAGGATGTCTATTCTTAATACATTCTTTCTAGACTGTTCCATGCTCGAGCTTTCCACCCCTACAAAAATCTTACGAATCATTTATTTGAACTGTTATACAACTCCTAGAATGAATAAGTTTTTTAAAAATTCTTAGTTCAAACATCATCAACTATTTACAAAAATTGATTATAGGATCATAAACTATATATTAAAATCACAAGAAAATGTCAATAAATCGCTCCTGAAGCAAGAAATAATTCAGAGACATTTTCCGACACAAGTTTCTCTAACAAAATACATTTCACGTTATAAAACCCACGCAAAACCAGTCGCCTCCATTTCTGTAATCGAATTTCTACTGTGACTTTTATCCCAAAAATATGCAAATACGCCTATAAGCCGCACAAACAATCGCTACGCTTCAATTTCGTCGAATCTGTTATTTATTATTTCCCTCTATGGCCCGTGTCAAAGTTGCGTTACGCGAGCCGATAGCAAGCGTTAAGCGCGCGCGTCGAAACGCAAAGAAACGGCGAGAGATGACGCAGAGCTAACGGGGACGCATAAAATCGACGTCGGTGCCTTTTGCTCTGCGCGGTTCTACGACCGCGGCACGTCTCGTAAAACGCGCGATTTTCCGATTCGCGACGAATGATTTGAAAAATCGTCGTGCGTCCCTAATACCCGTGAGTTCTGCATGGGAAATCGGCGAATGATTAACGACGGCCGGTGTTCCTTCTTTTTTCTCGAGCTCGTCGGCCCGTTTAGTGCCACTAAAACGGGAAACGAGCGACGGAGCGACTGCGTGGAAGTTTTACCGATGGTGGCCTCCATTTATTGCGGAAGCGTTAAACTAACGTGGCTCGTGTGTTGTATTTTATTTTCAGTAGCGTTTTATATCCCCCAGACGAAATTCATTGATAAATCGACGCGATGAAGGAATTAACGAACAGTATTTATTTCGTTTTGCAGACTTTAATGTTCTTTTAGTAACTCGTGAATGAAGGTCGACGAAGGAAGGTTGCAACTTGGCGATTTTACACGGTTCGAGAATCCGTTTTGTGGACTCGCGTGAGTTCGTCGATTATAGATTTGACTTCTGTCGCGGATGCCTGGTGGCAAACGAGCCATGTGAAACGAACAGCCGACGAGCAGAATGCAGGCGTATCTACTTTGAGAGAAACAGTTCCACGATGGGTCTGAATGATAAAGGATGAGAGGAAGAAATTCTGTACTATGGTGAACACCAACTTCGAAGCTATAGATCCATGGAAAAATGGTAATACAAATGTTTGTAACAACGTAAATGTAAAGAGATATGTACATTACTGAGTATTAGGACACCTGGTATGTATGAAAAAAATGTGATGCTTCGTAATAATGATATATTTCAGGGTATTTTTATTTCCTTGTAGTAGCATAAGCGTTGTCCATCAAGCTTTAATATCCTCTAAACAATATTTATTACAGACTTTAACCCTTTAATGCCCAGACTCTTAAATCGTTATTTTAAAATTATGAGACTGATATACATATATGTTGTATTTTGTTATTTTGAAGTAGAAAATATCGATATTAAATCAACCTAATTTTTTCATTTTTAAAAAATTGATTTTTAACCCTTGAACTGCCTCTGTCAGAGAAAAAATTATTTCTCGCGATTGTATTAAATTTTGTATCTTGCGATTTATACATAGTTAGTGTGTGACTTTCTACAGTTTTATTACTATTTTTAAGAAATTTGAATATCTTCTTACAAGCTTGTGTGTATGGACTATTGCTTAAGTATTCTATTCGGAGGGGTAGTTGGAATTTAAATTTTCTCAGATTAATAATTAAGTCTTTTTCGTTACTCTTATAGAAAGCACTGTCATATTAAGTGGTTCAGGTCTTTTCGGACTGTACCTCCTTCTACATGTCTCATTCCTGCAACGTTCACAAACGTGAAATAATCAATCTCTATGCCACATCGATTATCAAAACGCGGCAGAAATCTCAATCAATTCCAGTTTCCATCGATAAATTCTCGTCTTATCCGAGACTTGCTTGTGGTACAAGCCAGAGATCGGGTCGGATCTGTCGATAGACACGTTTTCGCGCGCGTGTATGTACACGCGAGGAGGCTCACGCGAACAGATATTTACTAGGTAAATTGCCATCGGTGGTCCATAAATGCCGACATGCCACCCGGATCGTAATTCGTACCGTGACAGACAAGACCTGGCTTAACAAACACGATCGACAGTGATTACCGGTCGGCTGCCAACCGAACGGTCGTCTGCTGGTCGCGGACTGTTACACGGACGCGACGACTAACACGTAGATATGCACCTGCAATCAACGCACACGCTACCACCATTGTGGAACGTGTTTAGTAAAACGTCCCGATGAGATTCCTCACGTCGGAAAACTATATCTTTGTAGCATCTCAAGCGGAATGAACGTTCCGGTTCATAATCGTGGTAATATTCTGTTATTATATTATTAACATTATTCTGTCTCGTTATCAGGGCGGGCGCTACCATTAAAGTGTTCTAGGCAATCGCCTGGGGCGTAAACCATGAGAAGGCGCAAAAATCCAACCGGTCTTATTGAACGAAAAATTTTGCGAGGAAAAAGACAAATTAAATTTTTATTTTATGATCTATGTGTAACTTTTTTCGTGCAATTTATCATAAATATGTGGATTCAAATTATTGTTTCCTTTTTTTACAATTTCAAGTTTAAAAAAAACGTAACTAGTTTGTGAAATAGGGGCGCGTTAATTTGCTTGGCCTAGAGCGCAAAATAACCTGGCGACGGCAATGATAGTTATATTACTTACACTACCGGTCATAAGTGTTAGGACACATGACCTGTATGCAGTAAATGTAACGTTTCATAAAAATTATATACTTGAAGATAGGTTTATTACTTGATAGTAGCATAAACGTTGTCCATTCAGATTTAATATCCTCTAAGCAATATTTATTTCAGGTTTTGAACAATTTTGTAATACCTTGTAATATTTTCTGCTTATTTGATAAGTGTCCTAATACTTTTGAGTGGGAGTGCATGTAACGTAGGGGGTATAAATGGCAAACACCCCACTTTAGATATTTTCATAAACAAACGATTTATAGTCGACATCAATTGTGTCGGTGATTATGAAAGTAATGTAAGTCGTCTATTATACATTAGAATACAAATCAATGTAACATAAAATAAAATGAAAAACTCAAATTCGTTCGTTTTTTGACTCACAGCACTTTTACAAGCACTGATATAATTATCGATACCTATAATAATGTAACACTAGAATCCGAAACTCTTAGTAGAAATATCTTCTAAAATTATTTCTAAAGCAGACCAAAAGCTCTAAATTTCCTATCTCAATGCAAATAGACCCAGGTATTCGAAACTTCCAAGCACAAAGGCTGCCAGTGGAAATAACGTTTGACACGTTTATATAACGTACACATCCATCAGCTTTGCAGTAACGTATTGCAGGTTGAAGTTTTCCAATTTAATTAGAAATTGTCCAGCGACACAGGAAGATTAATAAATGGCACATCGTCCGTGTCGAGGGTAAAATATCACGGTAAACCGTGTGCTCGCGACGCGGCGTACCTGTTCTTGCGCTTAACCTAGACCTCTTCCCTGGCTTCCACCGTAGTTTTGTAATAATCTCGCGAGACGACGAGGACTGGTCCCGGATGAAAAATGAACGGAACGGATCGGCGTACTTTTCTTTTCCGTGGTCGAGCTGGAGAGAGAAGCGTCATTAAAAGGTGCCCCCGGTCGACGGTCCTCGTATGGTGAACCATAACTACCACAGTGGAGTGGGGGGAGGGAGAGGAATATGCAAAGAAACGGGCTTCTGTTCGAGTTCCGGATACGCTGGCACGTAGCGTGTATATGCACATCTTGCGACGGCCCTGACCGATCGAGATAGTCGCGATGAAAAATCGGTTCCGGTTAATAGCTCGCGAAACAGCGATTATTACTGGCCACGATTAGTAAACGCGGTTGTGGTGCAATTTAGAAAATACCGAAGGCCCCGACCGAGGATTTTGCAGGATCAACGTAATCAATATTGCGACACGTGGACATTTATCTGCCCGTTGAATCTGCTCATTAGGAAGGGATTAATGTGATCAATGGACTGGAAATTATTACACCGAATCACACGGTTTTTTGGAGCAATTTACAGTGACAGGTGTTTAGGAATTTTATTGAATAAATTTACAGAAAATTTATTATTATGGCTGAATCAAAGTGGCTCTTTTTTATTTACTATTTTGTGGTTTATGAATTTTTGTCAACTTTTGTTTTAGATACGTTAGCTGTTGAACCACGTTGACATACATCAATAATATAATATGTGTTTTATCCTATACTGAAACGTTAATAATTAAATCTATACTTGCAATCGTTCGTTTAAGTATCGCTATACACGGTGGATCACAAAACGTGATAAAACTTAAATTATTCTACTGCTAGCTGTTCGGTCGAAAATTTTCTTGCATGCTTGGCCATCAGTGGAAATGTCATAAATAGAACTAGACAGGCGTTTTTTAACCGTTTATGCGAGTGTATTGTAGCTGGTGCACACCATTGTGAACATCGTTTTAACTAAGGTAAATGATATTTTCTTAATATTTCTTTGGTTTGGAAGAAAAGAAATGATTTAAGTTTATCTATAAAAAAAACTGAAGGTGATCTTGAAAACTCTGGAAAAAAAGTGTTGACACAAAATTTGGTATACTCATCTTAAAGCTCGCTAACAAAAATTTCGATTGAACAGCTAACAGTAGAATAATTCAATCTGATCACGTTTCGTGGTCGACCCTATACACTTCAAGAGACAATCCTATGTGTACCTGTTACACTGAAAAACTAATGTAAATCTTAAGTCTTCTTCGTCTTAGTACTCTTAGTCTTAGTAGTCTTAGTCTTAGCACTTTTCTTACTGCCCCGACCACTTTCAGGTTTCATGGTAGCGATATAATTCTTTCTGTCCTCGTACACATCCTCCACCAGCATCCTTTTCTCCCAAAACGACTCTTTGTGCTCCTCGAAGAGAAACCGATACCTCTCCTTCCTTCTTCTCGACAGACCAATCATTTCTTCGACGAAGTAATTATAGTCCTCCTGAGCGTAGAGGATGTTCATTACTCGAGCATTACTCAGAAACTCTTCGTCGGCCTGTGTCTTCGCCCACGCACTGTCTTCTTCTTCCTCTTTGACTACATAGACCGATAGATCCAGCGGTGGAAGTCTCCGAAGCGTTTGAGGTAGAACCAACGTTCTGACTTCTATCTGAGACGCTGGGACCTCCACGCAACACTCCCGTTTAATCGAAGTTCTTCCAGTCACCGTAGATTTCTTCTGTACGTCTATCGCAGATGGCTCTGGTTTGATTTCGTGCTTTTTCAGGAAATTCTCTCGCAGCTCCCTGCCGCGTGCCAAGCTGTCAGGTTTCTCCTTCGCCCAGGTTTCCTTCAGCTCTGCGATCTTCCTCTCCTTCGACGTGTCTTCAGCTATCTGCCAATTACATTAATTACCAATTGAACCTTAAATTCCGATTTAATATTTGACATGTAAATAGTTTTTGTAATGAATAATTTAAAATTCGAATGCTTGAAGAAGACGTCACCTCTAAACCGTTTCCGAAGTTAGAGACCACTTGCAGAACCCAATGCGGTTTCTCGAGTGTCTGACTGGTCTCGCTGAACTGTCTCGAAGCCTTCCTGGTCTTCGACACTTCCATTTTAGACAATCTTGACCCAGACGGCTTCATTCGAATGGTAGAGCCGGCAGGCTTCCCCTTGTGCTCCGTCACGACCGTCCATTCCGACGTCGTCAACGGCCAGCTGTCGTCAAGAACAAAAGCCTCCACGTAATAAGTTCGATGACCCGCCGACTCCTCGCTGGTTCTGCTTCCACTGACTTCGATCCTCCCCTCGATGGAATCTTCCACGGTATCGTTGTCACCTCCGTTCAAAACTTTCCCACTGGACGTACTGCCATCGACGTGACTGCTTTCGGTGTTACTCTCTAATTTAAAATGTGTCACGCTGGACTCTGCGTTTAAGCCCAAGTACGCGAACGGCAAAATGACCACTGAAGTTCCAACGATTTTGGACAACACGTCTCCATCCGTGTTCGTCACCACGAGCTTGATCTTCACCTTATCGTGAGATGTCCTCAGTCTGAAGGATACCAGACAGGGTTTGTTCACCCGAACAATCCACTTCGATATTGTCGTTTTATTGTTTGGTATATAAAGGTTGGATAGTTCTTCCGTTACCAGGGGAGGAGCCACCAGCATGGTAGATGGAGAAATTTCTTCGTTCATAGAGTAGAAGATCGGCTGCCATTTTTTGGTGATTATGAACATGGTCCAGGTCACATCTTTCATCGGTTGATCCTCGTTCCAACCGTACGCGAAAATTGTGTACCCTTGCTTAACATTCTCATAGCGAGTTGGAGCGACGTTGTTCACCAGCCGTAACATCTCCTTGCCAGTCTCGTTGTTGAAGACACGTATACCGTACCTAGGTAGATCGATGAACAAATCGAACCGTGCAAAGGCAGCCTCCGTAGCTTGGGTATTCACCATGAACCTCGTGATTGGTAGCCACTGGTTTGGCTTGATCATTGGTAATGTCCCCGTCAATTCCTGTACTTGGATAGTGTATTCGAAGTCTTTGGAGCAAGGATATATGTCCCGAAGGATGTCGAAGTGCTTCAGTATGTATCTGAACAGTTGACTAGCTAAAGACTCCCGTTTATTGTAGTTGAACAATTCCACCACCTTCAGAAGATTCTTTAGGACCTCTTGGTGTTCCCGGTGTCTGGGATTATGTATCATTTTGTATTTCTTGATCAGAAACCAGTTGAACACCGACTGAATAATCGATGCAGCGATGTCCCTATCCAGGATGTTCTCCTCGAAGGAATGTTGTCTCTCGATTTTGGCGTTCGCAGTAGTGCCTCGTATAGATAGCAGAGCCTCGGTAAACGGATTGTAACGCTCGAAACCAATGCGAGGATTTAGAAAGAATATTCTTAATGATCTCACGATGCCAGTTACCTGGTCCTGGGGTAGGATCTTTTTGATCAGTCGTACTTTCTCGCTGAGAAAGGACGTGTGTATTTGGTTATAGAAGACCTTAGTCCTCTTCTTCAAGCACCAGGCAGGCGGCAGGTAACTTTTGTAGTAACTTTTCAATGTTTCCGGGTACCTGTCAGTACCAAACGATTGGTAAGCGTTGCTCACGCAATTGCTGATGTGTTTCACCTTCTGATCGATCGTATCAGACTCCGTGGACATCAGCCGATACATTTTCCTACGGTCGCCCAGGTGGAAGATCGTGTCTGATGATATAGTCATGAAACAATGACACTCAGAACCGCAATACATTCGTAACAAGTGTCTTCCTGACTCCATTTCCATCACGGTTGCCTTCGTTCCAGCGGTTAGAAGGTGAACCAAGTTGCTCTCGTGTTTCTGTCTGTGAAACCAACTGTGTCTTTCTATAATTAGGTAGTCCTTATTTACTACCGGTGGCATAGAACTCGCCACTGTTTGGAAATCATTTGATTGTCCTGTTGAATCGTGAACTGTCCTGCTAGTACCTTTATCTAACTCCGAAGTGGCTGCTAGAGGATCGACCGTTGCTTGAAACGTGGAGAAATTGATGAAGAAGAATTTCTCCTCCACGGAGTCGGTGAAGATGTAGAGAGGCTCGTTTCGACTACTGGATATCTTCTCTGGCCAGCAGTGAACGTCGATGAATCCTTCCGTAAACGTAGTCCTGACAGGAGAATTTACTCTGCTCCCTTGTTTGCTACCTTTCTTCGACCCTATTTTTTGTTCGCCCGGTTGTTTGCCTGTGAAACGATCCGATATCTTCGCGGTATATTGAAAATAGTCCAACTTATAGAAGAAGTGCACGTCTTTCACGTGAGGTTCCATTTTATTGAAATCTGCCCAGAAACTAATGTCCGGCAGAGGAGTTTCTTCCGGTAATTTTTTGGAAGATCCTTTTGCCTTCGGACTTTTCGATTCTTTCGATCTGTCACGGTGTTTACTCTTTTTCTCGGACTTCTCGGATGTAGCTTTAGAATCTGGAACGTTTTTCTGATCGTGTTCTTCGGGGATTTGCTCGGTGTATTTATTAATTATAGATTCTTCGAAAGTTTTTAGGGGACTGACAATTTTCAGAGAACGAATTGGAACGAAGTATTCGACTGGATCGATTATACCCTGTTGAATGGCCCACTTTAGCCAGCGGTAAAGCTTCCATCTCGCCAAAGGTGGCTTCACCTGTTTAATATATTAATTATTTTTAATTGACTGTACGTAGGATGAAGTGAATAGGTCATTTAATTAATTTCGCTCCGATCAATTTTTATACTTTAATGCTTATTAAAAAAAAATAATGTTATTCTACATTTTTTATTATAGAAATCAATTAGTGACGTATTTCACATACATCCTTGGGATCCAAGGGAACGTCACGTGACTGTGCAACGTAAACAAAATGGCTCCAACAAGGGGACAATCCGGGCACTTTCTCTGATGGAAGCGTCTTCATGTCATCCAAACCGAGAAACAAAGTTACCGGTTCTGGTTTCTTTAACATAATTGGCTTCTGTTGACCACCCTTCGATTTTTTCGATCGATCGGTATCTTTCGATTTCTTCGACTCTTTCGTGTCCTTAGACTTCTTTGACCGTGATGTTCCTTTCGACTTCTTGCCCTCGCTGCTTTTCTTGCTGTCCAAAAATTCTGTTTGCAAAGGGTTGAAAGTGTAAACAGACCGTAGGAAGTGTAAATACACATGACGCGGGACCAACCCTGTTCCGTCGCTTCCGCTTCCCAGTCGAAATGGTCGGCGTATTTCCTCAGAAAGTCCCATTTGTCTTGGGGCGACAAATAGCCGATTTCTAACCGTAAGCAGACCCAGCCTGGATTGCGTAGAAAGAAGAAAAAGAACCGTTTTACTTTTTGACTTATTAATCTTCTAATATTTATCTCAATTTCTTTCGAACTGTTCTTTCGTTGTGTGAATTTTTTCTAAGCGTCTCACATTAATCTCACATTAACGTTCAACAATTTTCTTCCACAATTTTTTACATTTTTAACGCCAGGAAGCTCCCATTATCTTCAACTTTACCCGTTAAACAGGTAACTGGATGAAAATCTACGATTTCGCGATCTCCGGACCAGGTCATTGAACACAGCTTCAGTAAAGCCTTCGAGAGAAGTATGGGCCACAACTCGTGATCATTCGCGGTACGGGGTAAGACTGGCAACCCATTTTGGTTCACTGGTATCGTGTTGTCCACCACAATACGGCGCCATGATCCCAGAAAGTATAGTCGTACGATGTACTTCCCTTTGATAAATGTAAATATTAATTTTTGAAAAATATTGCTGTTCATCGATTTTAATTAATTCGCTAAGATCGCGGATAATGATACGAATATGTTAACAAAGAAATGAACCGGATAATGCACACCGTTTGGATTAATAGTAGGACGATGTTGAGCCCCTTTGCCCGCTTTGTTCATTGAATACACATGCATCCAGCCTCGCCAAGATTGGTACCGCCCATTCCAAATGAAATTGCCGTTCTCGCCACTTATTTCCAATCCATCTCGGCCGCAGTACTGGAGGTTTATTAGCGCGGAAATAACCCATCGCGCGAACTGAAAGTCGTTCCTAATTGAACCGCGGTTCAATCGGGCACGGGCCTGTTTTTAGTCGACGTGTTTGGAACAATTGTTCTATCAATTGTGCAACAGAGGCAGGGAAAATTTCTATATGAATGTAGTTAATATATTATAATTTCTATATGAATTTGAAATATTCAATGGAGGAACGGAACAATGTTTAACCGTATGAATAATTATTACCGAGTATTATAAAATCAATAATCATTTATCCTTGCGTGTTGCTTAAACAAAACTGGAATAAACACATATTCATTGGTAACAAAGGAGATGTTACCCGAATGAAATTTACCCGTCACTCATTTCTGCGTGTAGTTCATTAAATCTGTTGTTTTCTTTTATTGTATTTATCATAGGTTTCTAATTAACTTTAGTAAAATGTGGGTATACCTCACTATGCAATATGTGTTGGTTGTTTGTGATCAAGTCTGGATATTCTGAACTGGTAACAAACACTGTCAGTGGTTCCTAAATTAATTGTCAACATATTTTGTAGTTCTTCCAAATGTCAAATTTAAAAAATTGAAAACGAAAGAAATTGTTCAATTGATTAAAAATTGCACCCACAGTTACATTCTTTAAATTGTTCGCTCGTATCCATTCAGAAGATTGCAAAGATAGCGGCAGCTGAACGGGTCGTGTATCCAGAAACAGGCCATCTGAACCATCTATAATTAAGATTATGAATGTACTTCCGTTGAAGATTATTATTCAGATTTATTACTTTTAGGATTTGCCCAGTTCTCTTTATTTAGCGTCACATCGGACCATTCTGGCCATAATAAAGGATCTTCCGAAACGGATAAGTCGAATTCAAACTCCGTAACCTTCTTAGACTTCACGGACATGTCTGAAATTCTCTTCCAATGTAAGGAGACGATAGTCATGTTTTTATGATTTGAAAATTAATAATTTAAATACTGTTTATTACGCAATTGCTTTCTGTTCTCTTTATCGAAGATAGAAGAAACAACAATATGGTTAAATAGTTGTGTGAATAATAAGGTTTCTGAAAAAAGTATATATTTTATTGGATCTCTGTAGTATACATAACTATACGAAGATGAAATGCGAATCTATACGGAAAATAGACTGTATAAAAAATTACAATTTAAAGAAACTCTATCTCGTTAGTAGCTACATTACGATGGCGCCATCGCTCTTATCAAGAACCTAAATACATATATAAATGTATATTTATATATATGTATAATTCAGTACAAATGTAACAGCTACAAAAAATAATGTCATCGATCTCTCATTATATCAACTCAATAATGAATCAGAAACTCTAGCAACGATGAGGATGACGAATAAGATTGTACGTTTACACCATTGGAACGAAGTTTAACTCTCAGGTTCACAGTTAGATATTTTTCTCAACAAGAAAAATAACGCTACATCCAGGAATTAGAATTAGCCCTCATTCACCGTTTTGTACGACGCTAACTATATATATATATATATATATATATATATATATATTTGTTTTCAACAATATTTAAGATATAGTTTCATAGTCCCTCGATCAGGCTCGGTTTTAGTTTTTATAGTCAGTTTCATAGTTAGTTACATACATATCTTTTTGCTTTTTATACACCTAGGTACGCGTGAAGTGTTTCAGCCTCTAAAACCACACATACTTGTTAGGTCGATAGAATCGCATAATTTATTAAGGCAATGTTCCATTCTTCCACCGCTTTTTTTCTTTCGTAAGTTATATTAAAAATTGTTGATCGAAGCGTTTTTTTTATTGATAATGGTTTTATCACGTAGTCAGAGATAAATAACGTCGAGAATTTACAATAATTTAAGTTACTTATCCGATAAATAATTTTAAGGATATAAATACAATGGAATATTGAATACGTTTCATCAATGAACGTATTATCGTGTTTTTAAACGTGTTTGTTCTTTCTTCTGGAACACAAGGAGATCAGATGATACATTACACTGTATCGACATGTAAATCGAAGAATCCATATAAATCGAATTCTCCTGTATATAGTTAAGTTCATTAGTAAGTTTCAGCGCTTTGGAATAGTACTATGGAATTTAGCTTGTTAGCTACTATTAGAACTAACTTCTCACTCTCCTCGAATACTCGATCAGCATCCCTACGAATGGGTGAAGTACACGAACGATAAAAGACAAAAATGGTAACGTTCGTTATACATTATTATAACAGTACGTTTGTTCATTTTGATTGTGAACGTACGTTCATCAACGTACAATAGAGAGAACAGTACATACAACATACAACGACTAACAATTCCTTTCCTTGATTTCAACAGGTAACATCCAACGAATAAACGTTTGGCATTAGGTTCACCAATATTCTCGCCATTTAAAAAAATAATCGGTGACCAAATAAATTGTTTCGAAATCGGATATGCAACAGATAACGCCAGGATCAATAGATCTTCTAGACGATACTCTAGAATTTAACAATGCTCTCTAGCAATTCGTGCTCTTAGCCTGGCAGTGTTCAGAATGTCTCTCATTTACTCTGGTCAAAAATGAATATCTTTTCTTTTTTATGTCAATAATAATTTAAATATTTCATACTTGCCACTGCTACAATGATGATACTACTATATTTTATGAACACAAAAATAAAATACATTTCTAGTCACTGTTACACATCCTCTGATCGTTTACATGCATAACTTAGGCTCATATCAGAGATTTTGGCACTATATTATGGACACTCAGACAATTCAAAAGAAACTGTTCAATTCCGAGTTAAAAGTGGGGAACTAAGACACAGTGGACGGTACAATAATAACTCGAAGTTTTCTATGAAATGACTTCATAGACAAAAAATGCACAGTCTACGACACTGACATTTGTATAAGGGACAACTCAGACTTCCTCCACACTAGGCCAGTAATTGCAGCTGTTATTCATGTATTCGCATAATAAGAAAGGAAGCATATGTTGTTCTTCCAATAAGAAGCACTGATAGACACTGTACAAGTGAGCACTGAATGGTTTGTAAACCATAAAATGAAATAATCAATGCGTGGGTGAGCTATAAGATTTTGAATAGATAAAGTTAGAACCGCATTTAGTTTTAAGTCACTTTCTGCCATCATATGCAAATGTTTTTAACACATTTTGCCTGGCCCTGAAGCTCTCTGATCTTCCATTCGTCCCGCCTGAAGTCTTTGAATCAAAGCAAAAAGATCTTCCTCTGGAACTGTAGAACCTGCTTGAGTTCCATTAGCTCTCTGACCGTGTTCTTCTTCAGCATCTTGTACCGTCGATGGCGCGGGCAGAGGACTCCGTTGATCCTCTAAACGCGACCCCTGTTTGCATAATTCATTAGAATATTTCGATTATGAAGTAATCAAGCATGCGCCTGTAACATTTGGATACATACCTGACATCTAACAAGCATTTCAATAAAGGAATCATCTGCATCCTGGTTAGTATTTAGGCCGGGCAAGTAAGGGAGCGTGACCCGTTGTTCGTCCATTCTTTTACTTTGCATGCCGGCAATTAGCTCTAACAAATCGTCTCCATCTCTGAAAATAAAATCAATTAATATTGATGTATACTAGTAAAAAACGACGTAACTTGCAATAACGATATTTACTTGTCATCCGAATCGCATTCTTCTGGCGTCATTGGTCTAAACTTTTGACTTCGATTTGTGTTTAATGCACAGCGTTGGTCATCCATTCTGCCAGATTGAAAACGAGACAAAAGATCAAAGAAACTATCTTCTTCTTTTTGAGTAAGCTGCGGTGTCACATTATTACTTTTGTCTGTTTGAGATTCAGCTTGCTCTTTTAACTTTGCATCAGGTGTAAGCTAAAAGTTTACAAATCTTACAAATTTATTAATACGAGTTTAACTGAATATGTGTAAGCAATTGGACATTACCTTAATGAGATCTAAATTATCCATACTCTGTCTTCTAAGTCTATATCGACAAGGTGAAGATATATTAACATTTGATCCTGCATTGGTTGAAAGTTTTTGGACAATATTTTCCTTGTTATTTTCTTGTTGCCCTTCTTCTAAACCTAAAATTTTTTGCAGATCATCAACATTCATTTGTGCTGTAGCTTGGCCCATAGGATCTTCCAATTCCTTTGAAATGTTTAGATGCAGGTTGGCATAATGCAATGCCTTTTCATGGTTTCCCATTGCCGCATAAGCATTACCCAAAGACCAACAGGCACGTCCTTCGCCTACTCGATCTTTAAGTTGCTGAGCTATTTCAAGATGCCACAAGTGGTACTCTATTGCAGTTGAGTAGTCCCGAAGGAGAGTATATGTATTTCCAAGAGAATAGCAAGCTTGTGCTTCCACTTCTCTGTCTCCTAAATCTTGTGCAAGATCTAAAGTCCTTTTGTAATGTTGTGCAGCCTTCTCAAATTCACCGAGAAATATATGTGAATTTCCTAAGTTACTGTTTGCCCTCCTCTCTGCAGCTTTATCACCAAACTCCCTGGCAATTTTTAATCTTTCATTGTGATAGTAAATTGCTTGTTGAAAATCACCCAGCAGATAAAATGTATTTCCTAGATTCCCACATGCTCTACCTTGAGCAGCAGAGTCTTCCAATTCCTTCATCAAATCTAAGTTTTCTTCATAATAATGTACAGCTTGCTGTAAACATTGTCGGACATCTTCAGAAAATTCTCCAGGATCCTGATGACCTACTCTACCAGCCTGCTTCCCTTTTGCATGATACACATTTCCTAAATTATATAAAGCTCTTCCTTCACTCAGTTTATCTCCAATTTCTCTGGAGATTTCAAGATGTCTCTTACAACAGATCATAGCTTCGTCAAACTTTCCCATGACTTTCAATGTGTTTCCCAAATTTCCACTTGATTTAGCTTCCCCTAATTTGTCTCCCATGTTACGTGCAAGCGTCAAATCTAGTTTATGATAATGCATTGCTTTCACATAATCTCCCAGGTAAAAATATGCATTTCCCAACTGGCTGTAAATTGCACTGAGTATCCTTAAATCATCTGTACCAGCCTGAATTGCTGCTTGAAAGAATGCCACACCAGATTTGCAATCTCCAGCTTTACAGAGACGCTCACCCTCTAGTGCCAATTCAAGGCACATATTCCACCTTTCACTGTTCTGTTAAATATACAAAATTTACCCGTTATATATCTAACTACTGCAGATGAAAATTAAAGTTGTACTAGCTTGAAATGTAACATGATATTTCAACAGAATAACATTAGAAACATTCACAAAGTATCTAACATATGATTGCAAAATGTTTAATTTAAAAAAGGCGTGTGGAATGGGTATTGGAATGGTGATGGGAGTGGCTGGGAATGCAACTTCAATAAATTGATTGCAGGCAGGAGCTTGTGCCAATATTCTACATTTCTCTCTGCTTAAAGGCATAACATGCAATGAGCAGCATGCAGGTAGAAAAATGTTAAAATATTAATTGGTGAATGTGTAGTATGTACATGTATGGGAAACACAGGAAGAAAAACATATACAGTGTTTGCAATTTTTTTATTTCCATCGTAATATATCTCTAATTATTTACAGAAGTGTCAACCAAGGTGAAAGGTAATAATAAATAATCGAGAGTGAGAGATAAAAATTATAAGTATCAGTGAGCATAGTAATGCAATGACAAGACTTGCATGAGTCACGGAAGGAAAATCAGCAATTAGGATTGTTCACTTACTTGGCCTTCCGACGATAAGTTTTCCGCGCTCGCGCTCAGAGACATTGTGCTTCTTCTGTTTCAGTTTCTTTCACAAATTAACAATCGATCCTTCTGCTTCACAGCCGTAAATAACGCGAGTCTTATGTGCACGATAGGCGATTATTCAATTTACAATAATAATTCGACGCACACGAATTACCACGCATCGTGGTCCACACGTTTCCCGTTTCGCGATTTATTCTCTCACATAATCGCATCTGCGTGTTTTTCGCGAATAAGGTGCGCGTCGCTTTTCCCTCCAATCCGTAACCGATTACTGCTGATTGCTGCACTTTCCAAATGCAACTGACCAGAAATTGAGCGTCCAAACAAATAACGCTTGATGCATTTTACTCGTACGAGGGCCAATCGCGGCGCGTTGGTCATTTGGTGACAAACCAGAAATTCCTAGATAGTTCAATACGAATGAGTCTTGTGACAAAAAATGTCGAAAAATCACGTATATTTTGTTAATTGTACTTTCGGAGGCTCTCAGGTTAATTGTTGAATGTTCCTGAATCCATTCTATTTTAGCAATTGCCGATTGCAGTACATATCGTTAATCGTAAGAATCCTAATACGCACAATCAATTACCTTCTGGTAATTGGTGAGGAAGTAATTAAACAATGAACTTCGACCCAACTAGAGCTTACCTAGTCAAGCTTTCTTCATGAAAAATAGTTTTGATCTATTATTTAACTGGTAATATCTATTGTATTGTATTTCATAAACTTTGGCATCATTGTCAAATTGGCAGGATATATTTATCATAGATGGCGTTAGAGAACCATTGGAGGATTGAAAACTTCGAGAAGACGAGAGTAAAATTAATACTTTCGATCTATTAGGAAGTGGAATATCACATTTTCGGGGATAGTGTGTGTCTCTTTGTTTCCCTTTCATGATAGTCATTCCCTCCTGAATTAATCTCGGGTGCATATAAGAAAATATATTGAAATATAATTCGGCGGTAAATATTTTATTTCGTTCAAATAGAAAGTTGAGCAAGCAGGAAAGCGACCAATCCTCACGTTCTTCACCAACCGACGCACCAATCACAGGCCTTATACATAACCGAATCAACCAATGACAGCCAGTCAGCCAGTCTAACGGTCATTCGTCTCAGGGAAGCTGGACTGATTAGACGTGTAGTGATCTCGCTCGTGGCGAAGTAAGTATTATTACTTTTCACTTTAAATTATTTATGCTATTAGTATCTACATTACCACTCTATCGTTACATTTGTTTAGTATCTATTCAATTCAATGCAAATAATCGTAAATTAACTCGGTATTGCTGGATAAAGTGAACTGGTTTCACGATTTCTGTTCTCTCCCGGTACCAATTAGTATTTACGCAGTTTTTGTTTAATTTGCAATCTTTAGCGATACTCTTTGAGTCAATAATTGTTTCGTTGTGACTCAGTCATTGTTAATTTAGTATAATTACTTGGTATTAACGTTTATTTTCTGTTCCAGAATTCCGGCTAGAAAGAACGCGCCAACGATGCCAATCCCGTTAGACGCAATTTGGCGGGAAATTGGTGAATTCTGGTGATGTATTACAACAAAATAGTTCATATTCCGCTAGATATTTTTATTTTAGTACACTTTTACTGTTTTGACCGTAAATTTGATCGCGATTTTCTGATTAACTGTGCTGAAAGCAAACAAGAATATTTTTGAGAAATATTTCGCGTTCAAACGCAATTGAAGCATTCAATATGGCTTCTTGTTTGACCGTTAGGAAATTTAAACGGGAATGGTCCAGAAGTTTCAATTTGAAATACTCATAGTTTACTGGATCTCGGTCGCGAAATTGTTTAAATTTTAATAATTTTTCGAGTTTATCATTACGATGTCATCGTATTTGTATTTATATACGGTTTCGGGTGTAAGTTTAATTATACATATAGAAGCTGCGTAGTTTACGATGCTCATCGAAGCTTAAGTAAATAACGAAGCTTTAATCCTTGCAACGATTTTCTCAATATTTATAAAATTCGGTACGCGATGTAGACAGAAATAACGAACATTCTTAAACTCTAACGACGAATGTCTTCAATATAATATATTAATAACAAATATATATCAGTAATGAATATAATATATTGAAACAATGGAGAATTATTTTGGAATATTTTTTAACTATGGTACCTTTGCGTAGTTAAATTCATATTTGAATATTTATCGTCGAATGACAGTATTTTCATGATAAAAACACTTGGTAAAATATTAAAAATAAAAGGGTTAAGCCGGTGCACATGCGTCGTATTGTATTTCTTTCCCCCCTTTTTTTTCCACAGTATTTGGAGGCCGCGTGCAAGGCGGTCGAGTCGAGTCAGTGTTTGTTTACATCGAAGTTTTTTCTGTTTATGCGGAGCGAACTGGCGCCGATTAGGATCTCACCGGAGATGTATTATGGTCTTCGCGGAACTAGAGTCAGTGTTTGTTGCGTACAATCTCAAATTATTTTCAGAGTTTCGGGACACTCTTTGCTTTGTGTGTCGCGAAAGTAGAATCATTTGTTCGCCGGTTGAGATTTTCGGTCGCGATAGTTTTTTATTTTCATTTTTTTTCTACTTGAAAGTACTCGTTCGCGAAAGTAGAGTCAGTGCATCACTGAAGTGGATTTTTGGGCGAAGCTCTACAAATAGAGATTGTAAGTATCCTTATATTTTATTACTTACACTGTTCAACTGAAACAGCTAGAGTTTTGAGCTAGAGTTTATTACGTGTTCTGTTCCTTTGTTTCAGATTTATCAGATGCTGCATAAACAAACACTGCAGAGGATGTCCTTGGGCGAAGCTGCACCATTTTTCAAGATTCGTCGAGAGAGAATATTAAAGGGAGCTCTTCAGTCATCGGGTGAGTGAATGTTTTTATTCCTCCAGTCCCCAATCATGTCGTAGGACGATTGGTCCGAAACGGCACGGGCGACTGGTTGTATACGTGCTTTTGGCGAGTACAGTGAACACGGATATGCAATCGTACGATTGCATATCCGCGAGTAATATATGATCTGTTATGTTTCTTAGTTAGGTTAAGGTCTTCTTGTACGCCGCGTTTATTATTAGTAACATAATTCATAACTATTTTGTATTAAAAGAGTATGAGTTGAATATTTAATGTTCGGCTTAAAGGCGAACATCATACAGATGAAATCACATTGGTTATGATGTACTTTCTTTAAGTGTTCAATTTAACATGAGATATTAATCGTGGATATTTCAATAGAGATCATTCTATTATTTAAATAGTTGTTATTTTTTTATTAATTGAGTATATATTGAGAACGTCCTAGTATGTTATTTATTTCACTAGAAATGATTTTCACTGATGATGATATGTGCAATAATTTCAGTATAGTCATTTTAATATAGTCGTTTGGTATCATTTTGCAAATGATTTGAAACTTGCAGAACATAGAAAATACAATATATTCACAATGGTCTATAAATAACGGTCAGCTGATTAAAAGAATAATAATCAACTTGTTAACGTGTGAAATAAATATCAACCGTAGATTCGAATATAGAGTAGAAAGAACAGAAATCACACCGGTATGTTTAAAATAGAGGGGAAAACGTTGTGGTGCCTTCTTTGATAGGCATGTTATAGCAGTTAGCGCAATACCACGAGACGCGACAGCACGTTTCAATCCCGGAACCAGTGTCGCGAGACACAAAGGTATCATTCGTATTTGCAAGTTCCATGAAATAATGGAACACGTGTACTGGGAATCGCGATAAAGTATCGGTGCATAAAAAGAAGACGTATTAAGTTATGTCACCTGTGCATCGATATGCACGACCTAGTGAAAAACCGCGTGTTATGGAACAATTTAACACGTTGTGCATGTATGACCATTGAACAGTGCATTGTGATTTCCAGTTATCGTGGCCGGTGTTTTCGTTGCCAATGGCAAAGAACGCATACGGTTGCGTACACGGGTAGAGTACCGAGACGTACTGGCGTGTACTCACGTCCACTTTAATGGAGTGTGAGCGTTAAATGCAGGGAAGGTACTACTGTGTTTCACCAGCATGTATAGTGTTCCACAAACATATTTGTGTGGTCGACGTATATACTCAGAAGGAATGAGTATTTATATTTTGTCCTTTAAAAAAGGGCAGGCCCAGAGGTGTCCATCTACTCTTGCGAGCAGCATTCTTTCCCTCCGGAGGTACCCTCACTATGGGACTTGGATTGACTCGCTCGAGTCAATCTGAGTTCGGTAGTCGGGGAAACCTACGAGGGGAAGCTTGTAATTGCTTGTAGCTCGTGGGCGGCATTTGGACACCTTTGGTATTAGAGTCAATTTTTATGATAATTAGTATTTAATAAAATTTTATTTCACCCATTAGTCTGTTAATTATTATTTTCAACAGTTACACCGTCATTTGTAGACAAATAACTAAATGAATGTAACTTAAATTTATTTACTATTTGAATACAGTATATAATATATCAGTTTACTTGAGAATATGCAATTTTAGATTAACAGTTTGTACTGAATTATATTAGAAATACGTACTACCACGTTGCTCTAAGACATAAATAAAAATTAAATAGTGTATTTTGATACACTAAAAAAATTGATATTACAGACCATGTACAAGAAGGCGTTTCGCGACGGGTAGATTTCTGCGTCAAAGTGACATGTTTGTTACACTTATGTTATGTCTTATATTGACTTTGACGACGGGATCGCCCGAGGGTTATTCAATACATAGAGTCATTTATCTAATTGCAGAGACTTGCTTAGAGTCTTCATAACTAAATTATATTATATTAATAAATAGTCAATCGTTGATTTTCAATTTTTATTAATACAAAGTCGAGTCACTTTTATTGCAAAATGAAATGAAAAAGAATAAAAGAGAAGTAGCCCGTTTGAAGAGCAAAAAGTAATAATTATTTTAGTTAGGATTTTTAGGAGAATTATTCCGTGTTCGTTGCTCGAACCCTTTCACGTGCCCAGGTGCTACTTGGTTGGGCGAGAGCAACGGGGAACGATGAC